CCCGACCCGCACACGCTGCTGCGCCCGGGCTGTGTTTCCTGCAGCCCCTGCCGCCCCCGCTCCCGGCCCCGCCGTCGGCCGCCGCGTGGCCCCGGCTCGGCCCCGCGCCGTGCTGGGGGCCGGGGGCCGGGGGCCGGCACGCACCGCGGCTCGGCACCTGCCGCTCTCGGTGCAGCCCGCGCCGTGCCCGGCCGCCTGCTGCATGGTTTCGCACGCTGCTGAAACGAGAACGAGTTTCGGTTCCTCAGGTTTTATTTTGAGCTCCGATCGCTGCATATGCGAGGCTGGGCCGCGTCCCCGTGGCATGAGTTGGGGACGGGTGCGCGTGGCCAGAGCCGGCAAAACTGGGATGCCAGAAATCCGGTGCGAGGGATTTCTGTCCCTTTCCACGTCCCAGCTGGTGCCTGGGTGGCACAGGGGAGCCCGGCAGCTCCCGGGTGCTGCTTGGGGGCGTGGGGCAGCCGGCACAGGGCAGCTTCAGGGCACTCTCCTGTCCTTGGGGATGATCCTGGCCACCCGTGTGCCAGAGGAGACCCCAAGAAGCTGAGGGCTGTGCTGGGGACCTGGCGGCCCCGTCCCCCTGTGCCACCCCGCTGCAGCACACACGTGGGCACGTCTCGGAGCCGCGGCTTCCGCGGTGCCGTCGGCACCTCGCCGGTAACCACAAGCAGCTGCTTGCCAAGAACCCTTTGTTCTGTGGTGTATCTGGGGGTGCTGGGGGACCCCCCGCTGGCAGGGGGCATGCAGGGCTGCTCGGGCTGGGGGAACGGAGGGAACGTCCCCAGTGAGGCTGCCCCAGGCCCCAAAACGCTGCACCAGGGGGGCACCAGGGCTCGGAGCAGCATGGTCCAGATGGTGCCCAGACGTCCCCTGCAGCTTTGCCCCAGGATTTGGGGTGAAAATCCGGGCTGAGCACCTGCTCGGCCATCGGATCTCAGCATGGGAACGCCGGGCACGGGAGCACCCAGAGCTCGCCCCCAGCAGCACTTTCCCCGGCAGGAGCCCACGGATCAGAGGTGCGTGCAACGATCGGCGGCCAGGGCCAGGCAGCCCGCCCCGCTGCCACTAATCCCCCCCGGCTGAGCAGATGCACGTTTTCCTCAGCTGATGGTTAATTTTCTTTCATCCTCTTAAATGCATATGTCCAACATTTCCTTCGGGATTGAACCCCTGCCCCAGTGCACCTGGCCGGGGGGCGATGCCCGGGGTGCGGGGAGGGTCCCTGCAGGACTCCAGCTGCTGCCAAAGCCCTGCAGGGGTTGTGGGGTGGTTTCCTGGCCCCATTTCTGCTCTGTGGGGCCGGGAAGGGTCTGGGGAGCCGCACCAGGCAGCGCCAGGCCCCCGTCCGGAGTGGGAGGGCAGAGGGGCAGTGCTTGTCTCTTCCCAGCCCCGGATGCAGATTTCCACCCACGCGTCCCTCTCAGCCCGAGCAGCCCGGTGAGGGGCCCCGAGAAACTTTATTTAAGAGCTGCCCTTATAAAAATTGAATGAGGCGATGTTTTAATAAATGGCTAATCAATTTTTAGAGCTCTGCAGGTTAATAGGCTGCTCGTGACCCTCGCGCCACGCCGGGTGCTGCTCTCAGCTGGCCGTGCTGCAGGCACCGGGTCCGGTGCCAGTGCTGTGCCGGGGGCACTGGGTGCTGGTGGCAGCCCCGTGGTGTCAGAGCCGGCCCCGGGCCCTGCCCGTGTGGCTGCTCGCAGCTCTCCCGCCTGCCACAGCTCCTTCCTGGCACTTTTGTTCCTTTGCGTTTCCCTTTTTCCTCCCCCGCTCTGGCAGAGCCGAGCTGCAGGGCGATGTTTTCCCAGCCTCCCCCTCCCCTCCGCTCAGCGACGCTTTTCTCCCTCCTTGGGTTTGTATTTAATCAGCTGGCTCGGCTGAGAAAGCCTCTGCTGCCTCCCCGTCCCACCTCCTCCCCGCTCCTTTGTCTGAAATGCGGGAGCGGGAGCGCGGGGGGCTCTGGGCTGCCACCACCCCGCAGGCTCGGGGGGTCCCCATGGGCTCGGGGTCCTGGGGCGCAGCAGGGCAGGGTTGGGGTGTCCGGGTGGCAGAGCTGGGGAGAGCCAGAGCCCAGCACCGAGCTCTTTGCTGGCAGCAGGACTCCGCAGGGGCAGGAGGAGGCACGAGCTGGCAGCACCCCTGGTGCCGCTCCCGGCCTCCCCATGGCTTCAGCCTCCTCTCGTTTCCTCAGGGTATTTGGGGAGGGCAAAACGAGAGCGATGCCGTGCTCTGAGCTCACCGCAGCCGTCCGTGCTGGGGCGGGTGGCTGAGGCATCCCAGCCGTGGTGCCGGCTCCTGGCACGCGGCACCCTCTGCTCCAGCTCCCGTCCTCCCGTTATCAGGGGGACGGGGGGCACGGGGCCAGCTCGGGGCTCCCCCTGCTCGGTGCTGCCGTGGGCTCGAGGCGCTCGGCAGCGGCGCGGGGGAAACCCTCCCTCGGCGTGCGGCTTCCCAAGGCGCTGCAGGAAGCGGGGATTGGCGGGGGCCCAGCAGCCCTCAGCTGGTCGGGAGCAGCCCTCTGCCAAAAAGCTGCAGCGGCCGCATCCTGCACGCTGCCGGGAGCTGCTCCTGCCCTGCCGGGGGGCTCTGCTCTGCTCCCCCCGGGTCCCCCTGCCTTGGGACCTCGGTTCCCGGCAGTGCCGTGGAGACCGCGGCACCCATGGGGCACCCGGGGCCCGCGTGGCATCGCCGCCCCTCTCCTGCTGCGGGGGCAGTGGGCGCTGGGGGGGTCGAGGGGGGGCTCAGAAGGGGTCAGCGGTAACGACAGCTCCTGACCTCTCCCCGGCTGTTTGCTCAGGGGCCGGGCGAGCTTTTGCAAGGTTTCCAGGGGAACTGCGGGTTTATGGCTTTCCTGTAGCGCCCTTCCCTGTTATCGGCTCGGCCTCATTGATCCCTTTGATCGACGCCGGCGGGCGAGGAATTCAGCCCCCCGGGCACCCTCTGGGAGGGTTTGGGGGGGTCGCACCTTCCGGGGGGGTTTAGGGGAGGGGTTGCACCCCACCCTGCTGCTCGGTGCTGCCAGGTCCACGTGCCGGGCGTGCCCGCTGGGGGGGTCGGATCGGTCCCCCCATAAACGCAGCCGGCGTGCGGTGCACGGCCCCACAGTGCGTGCCTGCGGGGTGACGTGTTCGTATTTATAGCCCCCTCCCCGCCGCCCGCGGCCCCGCTGGCAGTTGTTCAAAATCGTCACTGAGAAAAGCGAGCACAGCTCGGCACGGGGGGGAGCTGGGGGCTGCCGCGTCCTCCCCGCTGCATCCTCGGCCACATCCGCACGGCCCCGGGGCGCACGGAGGAGCCGGGAGCCCCCCGCAGTGGGCACCCCCCGGTGTCCCCCCCGTGGAGCCCCCTCTCTGCCACCAGATGCTTCCCGTGCTTGGGGGGGGGGGGATTCTGTGTGGCTGGGGGTCGGCTCCCGGCCGTGGGGAGCGGCAGAGCCCCCGCGCTGCGTGCGTGCAGAGGGCGCGATGCGCTCGGCGGGCCGGCAGCTCTCACTGCCATAAATCAGGGCAGGAATGTGTCGGGCTGTCAAACAAAGGGTGGGGTCCCGAGACAAAAGCTGGCCCCAGCATAAACGGGCGCTGGAGGAGCGTCCGTGCATAGATCTTCCTGTCCTGGCTTATGAAAACATTTCCCAGTTGTGCGCAGGGTGCGAGGCGACATCAATCTTGTCGGGTTTGCTCCTCGGGCAGCGCGGGGGCCAGGACGGGAAATGCTTTCGCAGGAGGAGAGGTTGCCAGCCCCACGGCCTCCCCCGGCAGGCACGGAGCCGCTTTCAGCACCGGGCTCCCGAGGCAGATTTGTTGCTTTGCAAAGCGGGAGCGAGCTCTGGAAGGCGGCACGTGCCGGGAGGGCAGCTGGAGGGGCACGGAGCGGCTCCAAGTCCCCGTCCCGGGTCCTCCTCACTCCTCACAGCCTTGGTTTTGGTGCGTGGGCCCCGGACTCCCCCAGCACACGGAGGCAGGCACGGTCCCACACAGTCTCGCGGCATGGCACAGGCGTGCGCCCTGGCACACGAGCTCGCTGCCGACCCGGCGCTGGCTCCCTGGGGCCGTGCAGGTGCGGGGCAGGGACCGTGCCGCGGTGTTGCCCCCACTGCACCCAGAGCGCGGCCGGTGCTAAAAATACCCGGGCTCTGCCTTCCCGGGAGGAGCCGAGGGCCGATTGCAGCATTCTCGGTGTCGGAGCTGCTCAGCCTCCGGGCGAGGTTCGGGGCAGCGCCGCGGTTTCGGGGCCAGGAGCTAAACAAGGCGAACGCCTCCGCTCGCCCGCGCCCTGGCTGTGGAGGCACGGCAGGGCTGTGGTGGTGGCTCTGCCGCACCGTGAGCACCCCGAGCACGGCTCACTGCCGCGGGGGAAGCTGCTTGCAGGTGTCAGCACGAGCACCAAGGCACCGTGCGCCCCCAGCCAGGCTCCTTTGTGCCCCGGCTTGGGCTCCTGCTGCCCGCGGTGTCCGCGGTGCCGCTCCTGCAGCAGAGCCACGTGTGCAGGGCTGGGCTCCTCGAAAGCCTCCTGCGGTCACCCCGCGCTCAGCTCCCACCGAGTCAGGTTTCCTGGGAATTCGGGCACCCGATGAGGGGCCGCCCTCCCTCCTGCCACCTGGGAGCCTCCTGCCAAAGGCTCCACGTGGCCGTGGGCCCACGGGAGGCCCCTTGGCACGGTGACAAGGCCGGGTCGGGGCAGGTGAAGGCCGAGCTGCAGCGGGGCTCCCCCTGCTCCCAGCAGGGATGGCTCCTGCCACCCCGGTGGCTCCGCGGGATGCCGGAGGCTGGGGGCACGCCCGCCCCGAGCCGCGGAGATATTGGGACCCCACAGCTCCACGCTCGGAGCCCTGCGATGCCGTGGAGCTCCACAGAGCTTCCTGGCACTCCCCGGGGACCTGAGGGAGCTGCCCCTGGCCCCGCATGGGCTTTGACGGGCTGCTGGGGGGTTCCCTGGGTGCAGGGAGAGGTGTGGGGGCTGCCGGCAGAGCCGTGAGCCGGTTTTCTCCTCTCATTGTGCAGCTGTACGAGCTGGATGGCGACCCCAGGAGGAAGGAGTTCCTGGACGACCTCTTCAGCTTCATGCAGAAGCGAGGTGAGCCCCCCCCCGCGCCCGTCCCTGGGTTTTATTTCCTCGCATGTCATTGGAACCCAAGGTTAATGCTCTGGCCAGACGGGTAGTTAATTTTTAACCTCTTTGCAAACCGGGGTCAAACCTGCTCCGCTGGAATCTGCGCCACGAGCTCGGCGCAGCGATTCCCTGGCGCTGGCCCCCCCAGGCTGGCTTTGTCAGCGCCGCGCTGCCACCTGGGCTCCGTCCCCCTCTGGGCAGCTTGGCCCCTGGGGTTTGCCCCCACCCTGCTGCCCCGTCCCGGGGTTCTGGCAGGTCCAGAGCAGCCTCCATCCAAACCTGGCTCCGCTTTTAGGGCCTGAGGGTGTCATCCAAGTCACTGGCCGTGCCTGGAAAATTTTGTCCTGCGGTATCAAAGGGAGAATGTCCGTGTCGGGTCTGGCTCGTGCCAGGTCCCCAGGACACCACGCTGCGTCCCCATGGGGGCGGCTTCGGGGGGTGCTGGTGGCTGAGCCCCTCCCTGGGGGTGTTTGGGGAAGGGGGCTGCGGAGGGGCCCCGGCGCTGCTCGGGGCGAGGAGCCCGGCTGTGGTGCCGGCGGTGCCGTGAGGCCACGTCAGCTGCTGCCACCTCCCGGCACCGCGCCGGGGAGAGCCTGGGAGGAAGCGCGGGGTGGTGTGTGCGGCACGGCACGGCCCCCCCCAGCCCCTTCCAGCCTGCATCCGGGTGATTTTTGGGGTCCCTCCGCAATGCTCAGGCTGTGGCTGTGACTGGGGGCAGTGCACCCCCTCCTGTGCGGGCGGGGGCAGCCCCCCCATGTGCAGATTATCAAAAACCACTGCCGCTGAGCGCCGCGTGGCTGGGCTGAGACCTCCGAGTTTCATTTTCCTCTCCGTGTGGGGCCGGTGCTGAGCGAGGTGCAGTGAAGGGGGGGTTGCAGAGGAAAACGGGGTGCAGGGGCAGGGCAGCAGCAGAAGCCCCGACTGCTCCCTGAGTGCCCCCGGCCCCCTGCGGCCCCCAGCTCCCCCCTCACCTCTCGCTGCGGGGCGCTGGTGGCCGCCTGCCCGGCTTGGCCCTGGCACGACCCAAGCCTGCCCTCTCCCCCTCCCCAGGGACCCCCGTCAACCGGATCCCCATCATGGCCAAGCAGGTGCTGGACCTGTACATGCTCTACATGCTGGTGACGGAGAAGGGCGGCCTGGTGGAGGTCATCAACAAGAAGCTGTGGCGGGAGATCACCAAGGGGCTCAACCTGCCCACCTCCATCACCAGCGCTGCCTTCACGCTCCGCACCCAGTGAGCTCCGGGGAGGGGACGTGGAGCTAGGGGGGGGGGGGGGACATGGGACCGGGACCCCCACCACCGCCTCACGGCGCCTTTCCGCCGGCAGGTACATGAAGTACCTGTACCCCTACGAATGTGAGAAGCGGGGGCTGAGCAACCCCAACGAGCTGCAGGCAGCCATCGACAGCAACCGGCGGGAGGGCCGCCGGCAGGGTTTTGGCAGCTCGCTCTTCACCTACTCGCCCGGCGGCACCCACGGCCTCCTCTCCTCGCCCAAGCTGCCGGTGCCGGCCCTGGGACTGGCCTCAGCCACCAACGGCGGCTCCATCGCCCCCGTCCAGAAGATCAAGAAAGGTAAAGGCCTCCCCGGCACCCAAAATGGGCTGAGCTGAGCGCTGGGGGCCGGCACGCCTCGGGCACCCGGTGGCTCCGTTTCGGTCCCCTCCCCGAGCCCCAAATGACCTGGGGTTCCCTCGGTGGCACAAGGGCACCAGGGCTCGTTCTGGGGTGGGATGGGGACCCCTGGCACCCATGGCGCAGAATCACAGAACGGTTTGGGTTGGAAGGGACCTTTAGAGACCAAGTCCAGCCCTCACTGCGTCAGGCAGCCCAGAGCCCACCCAGCACCCCCAGCACTTCTCCGCAGGGCTGCTCTCCGTCCTCCCATCCCCAGCCACCCTCGTGTTTGGGGTTGGGGTCACCCTGCCCCGTCCTTACTGGGGGCGAGGTGCTGGGCTCCCGGTGCTCACATGGAGAGGCTGTGGGGGGCCCCGTGGTGGTGCCCGGGATCTGGGGATGCTGCAGACGCCTCGCTGCGTCCCTGACCCCGCGCTCTGCCCCGCAGAGGAGGACGCACCCATCCCCATCTCCATGCCCAGCCGGCTCCCGGTGTCCCTGGCCGGGCACCCGGTGGTGGCAGCGCAGGCGGCGGCCGTGCAGGTGGCGGCGGCCGCCCAAGCCGTGGCTCTGGAGCAGCTGCGGGAGAAGCTGGAGTCCGGGGAGCCCCCGGAGAAGAAGATGGCGCTGGTGACGGACGAGCAGCAGCGGCTGATGCAGCGGGCGCTGCAGCAAAACCTCCTGGCCATGACGGCCCAGCTGCCCATGAGCATCCGCATCAACAGCCAGGGCACGCGCTCGCCAGGTCAGTGGGGCCGCGGGGCTGGGCTGGGGGGGCTTGGGGCTGGGCGGGGGGCGCACGGCGGGTGCCGGTGGGTCCCTGACCTGCGCTGTCCCTGGGCAGAGAACCGCCAGGACTCCTCCGGCAGCCTGAGCAGCAACGGCACCAACAGCATCAGCATGTCGGTTGAGATCAACGGTATCGTCTACACAGGTAGGGCAGGGACGGGGCGGCGCACGGGGTCCCCTTTTGGGGGAGTTTGTCCCATTTTCATCAGCGGACGGTGCCGGGACGCTGGGTGCCCCCCGCTCAGCCCTGCTCTCCCCCCCCCTGCAGGTGTGCTGTTTGCCCAGACGCCCGGCCCTTCCTCCTCCTCCTCCTCCTCCTCCTCCTCCTGCCTACAGCAAAGGCAACGGCAGCAACGGCGGCGGCCGCAGCAGCGGGAACGGCGGCGGTGGGGCGGGGGGCGGCGGGGGCAGCGCCCCCCCCGCCGCCCCGGCCGCTCTGGCCGTGCCCCCCCCCAGCTCTACCTCCAACAACGCTTCGCCTTAACGCCCCCGCCGCCCCCAGCGTCGCCTCTCGCCAAAGCCAACAGAGGTGACGGGGGCAGAGCGTGCCCCCCAGCGCCGCGGCAGGCCGGGGGGGGGCTCGCGGCGCTGCTGGCGAGGGAGGGGAGGAAGCTTCAGCCCCGGGGGTTTCATTAAAGGCTGCCTGGGCTCGGAGCCACCGCGGTCCCCGAGCGCTCCGAGCTGGCGCGCGGTCGGCCCGGACCTGTTTACCTCACACACATCACACTTTGCACTGTACATTTATTATTATTATTATTATTTTTTAACTCGTGTTACCTCCAGACAGACGTACAGACGCCTGCCAACGCGAGCTTTAATGAAACCTCCTGGCACTCTTTAAAGGCAAAAAAAAAAAAAAAAAGATAAAAAAAAAAAATTGGAAATCGGGAGATATTTTATTCATTTAGATCCTTTTTCTTCCCCCTTTATTTTGAGAACTACACTCACTATATGGGATTTTAAGAGGTTGTTGTTTGATTGTTTTGTTGTAAATAGCTTCTATTTTATTCTCTAAAAAGAAGAAAAAAGAATCAGACTTTAACATGCAAATGATATATATTAGCATTCATCAGGGAAGCAGGAGCTGGGGAACCTCGTAACCTCCTTTTTCTTTTCCTCCTGGGGCGAGCGATGCCCGTGCTTGGCTGCGCTCCTCTCCCGGGGACCACCGCGGGCTCCGTGCGGGGCCAGGGGGGCTCCATGCGGGGCTGCGGGGAGCGGGCGCCCACCTCCTGCCGCGCCCCCGGCTGCCCCCACCCAGTCCCCGAGGCAGGCAGCAAGCAGGGCAGGGAGCCCCATGCAGTGGCACTTTGGGGACCTCCCTGGGGACGGTGACACTTTGGGGCCCCCCCGGGGCCGGCCGCGTGCTGCATGCTTCCAGCTTGTTGCTTTGAGTTCTTGGTGGAGAAAACGGCCTCGGATGGGGACCCCCGGCCCCAGCACCCAGCCCGGACCCCGAGCTCGGGGCCGCAGGCTCGGTGCCGGGAGGGGAGCGGCGCTCGGGGGCTCCTGCAGCGGCCGGGGCAGGCGGACAGCGGGGTGGCCAGGACCAGGCCGCCAGCACGTGCGGGGTCCCCGGCGTCCCCCCAGATCCCCCCTTTTGGTGCCCGTCCCTCTGCCCCGAGCCGGGCCGCGATGTCAGGTCGCTGCTTTCTGTCCTCCCCCTCCCCAAAAGGCGATCCTACTGTGCAGATCCAGTTTGGGCACATTTTCCCCCTTTACGCCAGGGCCAGGTTCCGGGGCCGAGGTGACACCCGATCTGTTATTCACGCTCGGAGCAGCAAACTGGTTTTGTTTGCAGTGGGGACGGGCGTTTTGTTTGTGAGACCGGCCGGAGGAATCAGGAAAATCTGGTGGCGGCGGCTGGGCCGCGGCGGCTCCCCGGGGCCGACCTCTGTGTTCTCGGCTGCTCCCCACGCCCTCGGGGGGGGCCGTGTGGGGCGAGCTGTGGCCACCCGGCACCTTGGGGAGCCCCCAGCACCCCGCCGGGTGTCCCCAGCCTCCCTCCGCATCCAGGGGTGCTTAAAGCAGCAGGAACCCGGGGAGATGTCCCAAAAACACAGCCAAGGGGCTGCGTGCCCTGGGGGTGCTGGTGGGGCCGAGGGGTGCTCTGCGGGTCCCCAGGGACGCTCCGCTGTCCTTTGGGACCCCCAAAGTGCCCCCCCGGCCCCAGCACGGGGCGTTTATGTTAAGCTTTGCTCTGCTTTAGCCGTGCGGGTTTCAGCTTTCCTCTCCCTCGGACGTTTTGTGGCCGCCCTGCCCCGGCAGCCCCAGCCATGCACATCTGCGTGAGACACAATCGCGACCTGATACCGACCCCCCCAAATCGGTATCTCGATTCCTCAGGTTTCCACGGCGAGCACAGGGTTTGCCCCCCTGCCCCGCGCGGACCCCCCCCCCGGCAGCACAGATGCCTCCCCCCCCCCCCCCAGGCTTGGGACGGGGACGCGGCGATCTCAGGGGATTTGGGGTTTTCCAGCCCCTTTTTGCTGGCAGGGAGGGAGCCGCCTTGTGAGCACCCCTCCCAAAAATAATGCTGGAAATGCCCTCGGGTGGCTTCACAGCGCCCCGGGGGTGCCGGGGGGGGGCACTCGTCTTGTGCTGCTTTTAGGATCCAGCCCAAGTCCCCGCACAGGGAAACCCCCGGGAAGGGGCGGCCGCGGGGTCTCCTTGTAGCCGGGCGGTTTAGAGCTTTAGTGAGTTTTGCATTTGTACAGTCACTGTTTTTTCTGGTTTTGTTTTTTTTTTTTTAATTATTTTTATTCTCACCCTCCCCCCCTTTTTTTTTGGAGAGAGCGCATATCACCTTCCCTTTTATTTTTCTTCTTGCATATCGATTTAAAAAAAAAAAAATCAGTTTCTCTGGGGTTTGAAAAGAAAAAGGAATGGACACAGCTGCAGACGCATTTATCCAGCGGGCATATCTTAACTCAGGTAAAAAATGAAAAAAAAAAAAACACACAAAAGACAAAAAAAAGAAAAAAGAATAAAAACCACATTCTACCTCTGAGAGCGGCGGCCTCGGGCACACTGTCCCGAGCCCCCGGTGAAATATTTCAGTTTTTCAAACATTCAGGTATTGAAACTTTTGATTATTAAAAAAGATAAAATAAAATAAAAACACTGAAAGTTTACATTTTATAATAACATTATTATACAGATTGTATTTAAACTTCAGAATATTTAAGACAATTGTAACCCTGTAAAGTTGATGAAATATTAAAAAAAAAAAAAAAAAAAAGTTGTTTGAAGTTTCTGACTTCACACCGGGGCCTGGGGGGGCTGGGGGGGCACACAGGGCTGGGGGGTGGCCCTGGGGTTATGGGGTGCCCATAGAGGTTTGGGGTGTCCATAGGGCCATGGGGTGCCCATGCAGCTGTAGGGTGCCTGCAGGGCTATAGGGTGCCCAAGGGGTGTCTATAGGGCGCTGGGGTACCCATAGAGCTGGACAGTCCTGGGGGTGGCCATAGGGTGCCTGTGGGGTGCCTGTAGAGCCATAGGGTGTCTATAGGGTGCCTATAGGGTGTCTATAGGGTGTCTATAGGGCACCCACAGGGCACCACACCACTGGATGCCTGGGGGACCCGATCCTCCTGCAGGTCTCCCATCCGCAGCCCGACCGGGCCAGACCCTGCTGAGCTTCCTGCCGCGTGCGTGCGTGCTCCGGTGCACCTCCCTCCCCCCCCCCCCCATTCCCTCCCCATCCGCCCTGCCGCCGCGGCCGATTGGTCGGCTCACCGGAAGGGCGGCGCTCTGCGCTCCCGCCGCGCTCTCTCTGGCCCTGGAGGACCGCGAAGATGGCGGCGCCCATGGAGGTGGCGCTGGTGTCGGACGCGGCGGGGCCGCTCTGCAACTGCTCCGTGTGGGAGCTGCACTCGGGCTCCGCGCTGCCCGGCTACCGCGGCGGCAACAGCGGCCCGCGGGGCCTGGCGCTGCTGGGCGGCGAGCACCTGCTGGGGGCACAGCTGGGCAAGAGCTACATCAACGTCTGGGAGCTGCAGAGGAAGGTAGCGCCGGGGGAGGGGGGCCCGGGGGGGCCCGGGGGGGCTCGGGGGGGGGGGCTCCGGGCACGGAGGGGCCCCCTCGGGACCGGGGAGCTGCGTGGGGGCTGCCCGCCGCTGGGGGGGGCCGGATCCGTGGCGAGCTCCCCTTCAGCCCCCCCTCAGTGGCCGCGGGGCCCCCCCCGGGGGCTGTGGGGTGAAGCCCCCCGGGCCGCCCCCAGCCCTGGAGTTCCCCCCCCCGAGGTGCCCCGAGGTCCCCCCGGGCCCTGCCCGCAGCCCCCCTGCCCCCCTCGGACCCCGGGGTCGTGGTTTTGGGGGTGCTGAGCTCCCTCCATGGAGGGGTCCCCAGCGGGTCGTGTGGGGGCGGCTATAAGGTCTATTTTTTTGGGGGGGGGGATCCATCCTCACATCGTCTTCCTGAGCAGGGAGCTGCCCTCGCTGAGGCCGTGAGGCTGCCCCAGGAGCTCCCCCAGGAGCTCACCCGGCCCCTCTGCATGTCGGGGGGGAGTCACAGAGAAACCCCCCGGGCTGATTCTGCTTTGCCTGAAATCTCCCATGTTCTGGGCACGTTTCAGCCAAAAACAGAAAATCCACAGACAAACCCCAGCAGCCAGCCCTCACCCAGCCCTGCAGAGCCACCCTGCTCCTGGCTGTGCCCCGGCAGCGCCGCGGTTAGGGCAGGAGAGCAGCACAGAGCCCCCGCCCCACAGCCAAAACCTCCCCGTTTTGCAAGTGCGAGGAAACCGGCAAAACACAGAACAGCTCGGTGGGATTTGTGCTGTCCCAGGGACCGCACTTCTCCATCATTTTCTTCTTCAGCTCCTCTCCAGCCTGTCCTGGTTTCAGTTAGCACGGAGTTGATTTTCCTCCTGGTAGCTGGTAGGGTGCTGTGGTTTGGCTTAGGGTGAGCAGAGTGCTGAGAACACCCTGATGTTTTAATTGCTCACACCAAGCATATTTCAGCTTCTCGCTGAGAGGCAGGGTGAGGGCACGGCTGTGTGGTGCTGAGCTGCTGGCTGGGTTAAACCAGGACATGCACAGAATCCCAGAATCCAGGAGCAGGGCCGAGGACTCTGCCCGGTGCTGGCCTGCCCCGAGCCAGGCTTTTATTTCTCTCCCCCTCCCCAAATCGCCGCCCTCACTGATCGGCCGCTGTCGTCTCTGTGCTCCCAGGACCAGCTCCAGCAGAAGATCATTTGCCCCGGGCCGGTGACCTGCCTGACGGCGTCTCCCAACGGGCTCTACATTCTGGCTGGCGTCGCTGAGAGCATCTACCTGTGGGAGGTGAGGAGCACCCCCAGCCTGCCTGAGGGGATGGGGAGGGCACTGGGACACCCAAAGGTGCTGGCCAGGGCTGAGCGAGCTGCCCACGTTCTCCCTTTCAGAGCCCCGGGAGGCTGGGCTGGCTCTAAAGGCACGCCAGCACCACTGAATTGTCAGGCTGAAGGCTCCCATAAATGATTTGGAGCCCTGTGGAGGTTCAAGTAACTTGGATCCCAGGGAGATGGAAAATCCTGGCAGGTCCTAGAGAGGAGGAGGTTTGTGGTTAGGTCCCTGTTGGATGAGTGGGGGTCCCCTGGGCTGGAGGGAAGGGAAATGCAGAGATCTGCATCCTGTGGAGTCCCCCAGTCCCAT